CAGGAGCAGCTCAACAAGTAACAAATGCCCCTTTAATGGTAAATCCATGGGGACAACATCCTGGTCCTCTTGTAAAGCCAAGACAAGCACTACTCAGAGAAGGTGCCCTGGCCCCAGGTTTGGGAGTCATTTCTGGGTAGTAGAGACCTCTACATTCTCAGGGTAAAATAATAAAAGAAGGGCGTCTAGAACTGGTGGGAGCTGGGTGACACATTTCTATACCCACTGTTGATCACTCCCATCCCTATAGCCATAGCCTGGACCATTGGTGAACTCTGACTCCTAGAAGACCCTTGACCTTGGAGGTTTTCTCATCACTTTCTCTGTGTAATAAGGACATGAAATTTAATTTCTCCTTTAAATGCTTGTTTCAGCCCTCCCTTTAAAGGGAAGAATACGTAAAAGATCTCCAAAGGTACTATGATCATGATATGGTGGATAGCATCCATGGAGACTCCACAGAGGAACATAGTGTTAAACCATCACATGATACCGTCTGTGAGGCTGCTACCAGCTCTAGTGTTCTCTGAGTTGAGCAAACATACGTGTTTTTTTTCCCACATGCAGTTGTCAGCATTATGCTGTAGCACATGCTTGCAAACCATCTTCTTGGCAGGAAGTAGACTGTGGTCTTACGTAGCATAGTGCTAGTGGTGCAAGTGTGTGCATCCACTATGCAGCCAGGGTTAATCATCTCTTCAAGCTGGCTTTGGGCATACTTCCAGGTGCCTCAGCTAGGATGCTCCTTTTCATTCCAGAGAAAGTTTGCCTCACTCACTGTGGCTCAAATAATATTTTCAGCCTTAGATAATTTGCTATCTGTCCCTCTGAACTGGTCACCTTTGAAGTGAATACAGCTGGCTGAAGATAAACAAGTGAGGCAAATAAGCCCAAACATTGGCAGTTAGTAGATGTCCTAAACAAATACCCCCCTCGCCCCAGGCTCAGGTGGGGACAGAATATAAAAGCACCAGAAGATAAAATGAAATGTAGCCCTCTAGAGCCCAGAGGTTTCTACAGTGTCCTTACTTCCCTGAGAATACATCGCAGAGGAAGAAGGAAATGATGGATATTGTAAAACTTCATAAACACCATCTTTAAATAGAACACAAATCAAAGAGACATTTCAAGATCCCTGCAGATAGTCAATAGTCAGAATGAGATGAGAATAGAGAACAATTGGAGACATTATTTTTTTATAAATTGCCCATCTCATTCATTGCCAACTCTGGTCATGAAAAGCAATTCAACTGATTTGCTATCTAGCCCCACATGTGTTTTCCCCTTTCGTACCCTCTTATAGAAAATGTGCTGATGCATTTCTCACAATGGAGAGCAGATGTGGAGGAGGCAGCTGGGGGCAGAAGAAAGACAAAAGGCTAAATAGTCAACAGAGTGGGTAATGAATCCCACATGCTTAAACATTGACATAACACTGTTGACAGTCCGCTTTTAGCTTGCTGACTGAGGAATTGTTGAGTAACGAAGACTTTCACACCTCATCCAGAACAACATGAGAAGCTTCCTATGGTCTCTTAGTCTTCACCAGTGAGTTTCTACTGCTGAAAATGTTCCCCAAAAGAGCTTAATTCTGCACAGTTACCCTTCATGTGAAATAGGAGTTGTCAGTATGAAAGACAACCACACTGGGAACTGAGTACAATGTTCTCTTGACACCGAGACTTGCTTTGGTTTGGTGCAATCAATGTTGTGCTGCATGGCACTTCAATGGGGAAAAAGCAGTTTTCCAGACATAACAGCCCAAGAAGGGGAGTTATTAAATTACTGCTGATGCCTCTTCAGGTTACTTGCCTACTCTCTATGAGTCAGCTATATGGAAATGAAGATGATGCCTTACTTATGAACTGGAAGGAGTCGTCTATAACCTGTTTCTCCAAGGAGCTCGTGCTTTCTTCTTGGGGTTTTCTCTTTTCCTTGTTGAGGTTCCTACTAGGACCAAAACATTGTTATTAAGTAGATCCACCAAAGGAGTGGAAGAAGCAGGAATGGGCTTTCAGAGTTTGGGGTGGCATGGCCCCCAGAGGACCATGTGTCAATCCTTATCCCCTGGAAGGATGAGAATAGTGAAGGGGGTGCTGATAAAGAAAAAATAGAAAAGAAAAGAAAAAAAGAAGGCGAGAACTGATTAGGAAGCAGAAGTGGATCAGCAGGAGTGAGGGGAACTAGAAACTTTGAGGGTAAATGAGATCAAAATAATTACATACATGCATGAAAAGTTCCTAATTAAACTCACTATCGTGTATAATTAATTAATTCTAATAAAAATACTAGCAAAATATGTCAGTCACCCCAATACTTGAGCTCAGTGGAAAGTACTGTGCCTTCTTGCAGTTTTGAGAAATGCTGTTTCAGGATGGGAAGAATCAAAAGAAAGAGATTACATCTAATCCGTGTGGATAGGAGTCCCTTACTTAACCAACCCTGCTAAAGCCTCTTCCAAAAACTTGGAGCTCCTGTGGTTGACTGCCTGGCTTACACCGATTTGAAAACAGCAGTCTGAAACATTCCCATGAGAAGGGGTAAGCAGCTGGCCGGGGGGTAAGGATGGGTATGAAAGATGAGGAATCACTGATTATCTAGAGGCTTCTTTGGGAATTCATACTTCACCATGCAAAGAAATTGGAGGGAGAAAATAAAAAATTATTCTACCACAGATGAGAATTTAACCATCTCCCTGTTTCTAAAACCCCACAGGACTTCCCTCAATGTTTACATAACCCTGGATTGTTTTTCCAAGAGCACAGCTTCGGTATTTTTAAGCAAAACCCAATACAGAATTTGGGCTGACCCAGACCTGTGTGGCACTTCATTTTTTTCACCAATATTGTTTAACACATGCCACCTTCATACAGACAGTGAAACTAAGGAATTTACTCCAGCATAATGGGCATTGGCAAGAAAGCAGAGGAGCAGGATTTTAGCTGTCTCCATTAAAGGTCTGAGGCAGAGCCTCAAGGGGCAGCTTAATCTAGATGCTTCTAAGCACTAAAGAGTGGAAATCCCAGAGGAGCAGCTCTTAGCTCAGGACACAAGATAATCTTCCGGAAGGAAAAGATACCCTGAGTCTGTGAGCACCCTCTCATACACTGGGAGTGTTCTGATCAAGGCTGCATGGATCAACAGAGATTAGGATGGGAATATGAAGTTTGCCTCTTAACTCTCATGCTCAGCTCCTCCCAGGGATACAGGATGTCCACAGGGACAGGCAAGAGATGGGTAAAACTGTATTCCTGAGATGAATCATCCAAGACTAGTGTGCTAGATAGCTTTATGTCAACTTGACACAAGCTAAAGTCATCTGAGAAGAGGGAACCTCAATTAAGAATATGCCTCCATAATAGGCTGTGTGCAAACCTGTAGGGCATTTTCTTAATTAGTGATTGATGGGAAGAGGCCCAGACCATTGTGGGTGGTGCTGTGCCTGGGCTGGTGGTCCTGGATTCTATAAGAAAGCAGGCTGGCCAAGCCATGTTGATCAATCCAGTAAACAGAACCCCCCCATGACCTCAGCATCAGCTCCTGCCTCTAGGTTCCTGTCCAGTTTGGCTTCCTGTCTTGACTTCCTCAATGATGGACTACAATGTGGAAGTTTGTGGAAGTTCAAGCCAAATAAAGCCTTTCCTTACCAAGTTGCTTTGGTCATGATGTTTCATCACAGCAATAGAAGCCCTAAGACAACTGAGGCTGTCACCTCTCCCTTGGCCTAGCCCTTTTTGCTCACTTCCTCTATCAAGTCATTTTTCCTCAATTGCCTAAGCAAGTCTGAGTCCACCCTAGCATTTTAGATTTGACCGTCACTTAGGCTGAGCATTCATGTCTCAGTGGATGAAGCAGTCATTTGATTCCATTCTGATTTTCTGTAGACCTCTCTGAAGCTACAATGTGGTCCTTGGTTAGGTAACAACATCCTGGCATTCAAGGATGATTCCATAATGCTTCTTTTCAATTTCCTTATCACTCTACAGCTTATTTATATTAAGCTTTCCAAACCACGACCCTCACAGACCAAATGTTTCTCAAGGCCTGTTAGTGACCTTGGTGACTTTACAGTCATCCTTTGGGTCTTTTTCAGTTTCTTGAGTCAGGATGCCCTTGAGCCTTCTGCATTTCCCTGGTTTTCATCTTCTCCAGTCTTGTGTGTTTTTCATGTTTACAGGAATATTGTAGTAAATGTGAAAGTACGTTAATGTGAGACAGAACATCCTGGCCGTCTACTGACTGAATGGGCTTAGTAATTGGGGAATATATTAACCAGCTATTCTGAGCATCCGCTTTCTCACTTGTAAAATGGAAAGAGGGATATGGATATCAAATATTTATGAAGCTAAAACTCAACATTTAAGTCCTAGCATACTTCCTGCCTTGCCTGTGGTAGACAATGAATAATTTAGAGAAAAAAAAAACAAGAAAGAGAAAACTCCCATTATGTGTATATATATATATATATATATATATATGAGAGAGAGAGAGGGAGCGGGGGGAGAGAGAGAATATTCACACACACATAACTCAGAGCATCACACATGCTAAGAAAGTGTTTGACCACTGAGCTATACTCCTGGCCTTTCAACACTTTATGTTGAAACACATGCTTTCTTTGATAGCCCGAGATATCCTTCATTTGCTATCCTTCTGCTTTAGGTTCTGGAGTAACTGGGGTCACAGATGTACCCACCACAACCAACTGTAACGTGCATTTATAGTCAAAGACTTACTGAAATGAACCACAACATTTTAGAAGAAATACTTCTGGAATAGCCTTATAAGATTCCAATATGAATAATCTTGTTCAAGTTCATTTAAATTGATCTTATCTTCTGTTTCACACATAAACACAAGAACTTTGCACTCACGTGTTATTAATCATAAATTAAACACACAGCCTCGCATTTTTACAAATATAAGTGAATAATGTTTTTATACACAATATACGTTAGATTTACATAATTTGGTTATTATGTCTTCTGTTTAATGTTCAGACAGTCTCGGTAACTCTCAGAAGCAAGAGCTACAGAGAGAGAAGTGGGAGAGGAGAAACTCACCAAGCAGAAGCCTCTCCCGGCGCTCCATAAGCAAGGAGAGATGGGTGGAGACACTTGTGGTGGCTGACACCAAAATGGTTGAATACCATGGAAGTGAGAACGTGGAGTCCTACATCCTTACCATCATGAATATGGTATGACAGACTGCATGAGGGGAGGGGACAGTACTGACAGAAGAGATGTCCTTAGAAACGCTCTTCCCCTCATCAAAGAGTATTTTTGTCAGGCATGGTGGTGGTACCTACCTGCAGTTCCCAAGTCTGGCAAACCAAGGCTGGGGGATTGCAAGTCTGGTGGTGGCTTAGTCTAGGTAGTGATATACTGTCTCAAAATGCTAAAAACAAAAAAAAAAATAAAAAGAAAGAGATTTTGTTGTTGTCCTTTATCACATGCACACACACACACACACACACACACACACACACACACACACACACGGGCATGCATACACATGCACAAGTCTGTTACTTGCCCCAATGTGTAATAATGGAAATTCAGGACAATTGGTCTGTTCCTTAAAAATGAGCATGGGAAAATTTCCCTGGGAAAATTTGTAATTCATTATTTGCATCTACGTAATAACTATTATTATTTGCCAAGTGACTTGATATTTTTAGGATGGCTTTCCGTCATCAATTTCTGCTAGTCTTAGTCAATGAGAAAACTCGGACAAAGGAACCAAACATGATTTCCTCAAGGCAGGAAGAGCTATCACCAAAATTTGTTTCCACTGCAACCCCACGTTTCAGGCTTCCTTTCCATGGTTGCTCTGCTTTGCTTTCCAGACAGGTGGCTGGTCCTGCTGAGATGGGAAACAGTAATTCCTTGATTAACTGATAGAGGAAAGAAGACCCAGGGCTTGACAAGGTCAAAGAAAAGAGTTTGTTCAGGGGGCCATGCTGCTGGGATCTTGTGGGTGTAGTCTCCCTGTTGTAGTTAGAGGACACAATCTCAGGGCAGAGTTCCTGATCCTCTGGTTTATAATCTTTCCACCCTCTTTCCCAAGATGTCCCCTGAGTCTTGGGTACAGAAGACGTGTTGTAGATTTACCAAGTAGGGTTGGATAACCCAGGGCCAGTTGTTCTCTGCGTTTTGACTAGTGGCTTTCTGTAATAGTCTCTGCTGCAAAAAATAAATAAATAAATAAATAAATAAACTTCTTTGATAAGGGTTGAGAGCTGCACTGCTCTGTATATACGTTATGTCAAGATAAGCAGTCTGCAACAAGAACGCAGTTAGAGAGTATTCTGGTTTAGAAGAGTGACAGTAATGGGATCTCATCTAGGATCCATGGCCTCACAGGCACCTGTGGTTGGGGAGGTCTAAAGTACCAGCCATGAAGAGATACAGACAAAGTAACAGTTGCTGAAAGAGGGGAACCTAATCTTCCCCAGGGACGAGACCCCCACCCTGGCTATCCAATACTCAGGGATCAGCCCTAGAAATGTATGTATACATGCCGGCAACACTAAATGGACTCATCAGGTAGTGTTTGTATGCTGACTTGTTTATATGTACATAAAACAACAATGGTTAAAGAAGAGGAGATTATGGATTTGGGGATGGGAGGTTGGACATGGAAGGCACAGGAGGGAAGGGAGAGGAGGAGGGGAGAGACTATGTAATTATATCTTAAATTATAAAACAGAAAAGAAAAAATAAAGCAAGGGAAAAAACCCATTAGTTATAATGATAACTAGCACCACAGAGGAGGAGAATTAAAAAATCTGTTATGAAAATGATCACAGTAAAGTTGTTAAAAAGTATCTGGTGTATTTCTATTTATGTGATGTGTGTATCACACTGTCTCACTATCTGCTCTGTGAATATGTGTGTGTTTGTAACTAAAAGGATCTATAAACAGAACTTAAAATAGATTATCTTGGGTGGAAGAATTATAGATGAATTTTATTTTATTTGATTACATATATGTATACATAATCAACTATATATACTATATATACATATATGTAATAAAATAAAAATATATAGATACATATATGCTGTTCTCCACTGTTTACAGTTTTTAAATTTTCTACAATGTCCTATAAGTTAAAATTAGATTTTGTGTTTATGTTAATACTATTCCCACTTTGGTTGCAAAAATTCTCTTATTTTGTTAGTTGAAAAAATATGTTCTTTTAACCAATTCCTTCTTTTCCTTCTGTCTTCGTTAATAATAGTATCACTGTAACCAAGAATGAAAGACATAAATTTCTCAAACACACATCCAATCCATCACCCTGAAAGGGCATCTTTAAATATTATAATGTGAACTGAGATCTAGTCTCCTCAGAACTGCGCCTAGAATCCACTCTATGACATGGTATTCATTTCCTTGTGTTCTGGAGCTATCCATGCCTCTGACACGTATACACTGTGCATGTGGAGCTAATGTTTTCTGTTTCTGACCCCAGGTCACCGGGTTGTTCCATAACCCAAGCATTGGCAATGCAGTCCACATTGTCGTGGTTCGACTCATTCTACTTGAAGAAGAGGAGGTAAGGAATGGTTTCCCTCCACTCTTCTTGCCTGTGCTGTCCAATTTCCACCCTCTCTTTTTCTCTCTCTTTTAGGAAAGTTCTTGATAAGCAAGAAAGAGGTCTCTACACAGTCTTTTTACAATCAAAAGAGGAGGAAAATACTATTTTTGTGTTATTTTTCTTGGGACTTCAACAACATTGAGTGGGAAATGGGGAACAGTTTCAAAAAATTACACACACACACACACACACACACACACACACACACACACACACAAAATCACCTGATTACAAGTGCATCTAACAAGACACAACACAGACATACAGCTGTCACTAAGAGTGTTTTGCAATGGAAGTAGTGTAACTCATAACTAAGCTAGATAGGTTCAATGGATGTTAGGAGAGATATGCTATGATGCATGTCTCTCATGCCATTAATTTCCCTATGGCATATAACATACATCTCTCAGATTCAAAGGCTCTAGTTTATACATTTGTCCTTGGATATTTCATATATTCTCATACTTATATATCCTCCACATGCTGGGATGATATGCCTAGGTCCTACTTCATTTAGTCTTGGGAATGTAGTTGAGTCTGAAATGGGATTCTAGATTACTTCCTGCCAAAGTATCTCAGTTTGCTCCCTTCATTCCTGATACTATTATCTTTCCTATCTCAGTCAAAACTACTCCAGTGTTCACCAGTGGCATACATCTGAGAATCATTCTCTTGTTGTTGCTTTGGTTTGTGTTTGTTTTTGAGACAAGATCTTACTATGCGTCTTTGACTGGCCTGTTATTCACTATGTAGACAGGCCAGCCTCAAATGGACAGAAGCCTGTGTATCTGCCTCTCAAGTGTGTATGACATCATATCCAACCTCATCTTATTATTTATTTATTTATTTATTTATTTATTTATTTATTTATTTATTTATTTATTATTGTTGAAATCCAACAACAAAGTCCATAGTGGTCCCACCTCCAAAGCGCAGTTCAAAAATACCCAGTACTCGTCATTTCTGCAATCATTATGTTGATTCAAGTCTTACATCTTGCCTGAACTGGTACAGTGAATTCTCAAATGATTTTCCTGTTTCCAACCTTGCCCATAATATATTCTCTGGGAAGATCATTTTATGTATAGCCATAATAGATGACTTTAAATACAAGTTCAAATAGTAACTTCAACCTCCCCCACAAAGACTCCATTTAAAAAAAAATCAGTTCATATTGCTTTGGTCTGTAGAACTCTTCATGGTCTTGATTCACCCATCTTTTCAGTTTTTCCAGTTTTCCTTATGCTATTCACTCCCTTGTCTCCAGCCCTTGCACTCTGGAGTTTGAATGAGTTCTAGAATATGCAAGGCGTTTTTCAGCATCATAATCTTCGTACTTATGGACCCCAGTGTCTCGAACATCCCTCCCTTGGTTCTGCACATGGCTGGTACCTTCTCATCACATAAGCCTTTGCTTAAGTACTGACTCTTAAGAGAATTCTCAATGTCCAAACTACTCAAAACCGGCCCCACTCACTGTTTCTGCTTCATGGAATGATAGCACTCTCATAGGTCACTTTGATTCTTTGATTTATCCACTCTTCCACATATCTCAACTGTTAGAGAATGTGGACAGTGTACATGCAGAAATGAGTTCTTTATTCTGTGATGTCCCCAGTACCTAGCATGGCTCTTGGAACATGAATAAATGTACAAAGTGAAATTTAATAAGTGAAGGAAACTACCAAGCTGATGGAATGCCTTTCAAATGATACAGCAGCTGACACACATAAGAAGGACCCTATTCACATCTTCTCCAGAAAGAAATGTGGTACCAAATGTCAAACAAAGCCATAGTTTCATAACAATACAAGTCTCCACCCTCGGTTAAAAGGATATTTTAAAAATGATCTTTGAAGCCTAGATTCCTTTCCCCTTTTCTCCCCTGCTGGCCCCGCTTCACTTCATTACTTGGGGCATGTTTTGGGCATCATGGAATTCCAGTTGTTATAGTATTTCTTTTTCTGTCATCTTTTTGTTCATAAAATTTATTCAAAACTTGGAAAGCAGGCAAAAAAAAAAAGTCTACTAGTGCCTATCTGACCCTCTGTGAATGGAACTTTGGTTGTTATGGGCTATTGATGAGGATTCAAATGTGGTGAAGCTAGATACAGGTTTGTAGAAAATTGATGGGGTACACAAATGGTTTCTGTCCAGAAGAGATAAAGTAGATATGTGTCCAACAAAGATAATCCTAAGCATATTAAGCTTTTATTGGCCTGTGCAACATTAACTGACCTTGTACCTAATTTAACAATCTCACTCTAGTATGTTTCCCACTGGCTTGGGCTGCGGTAATTTTTCTTGCATCTGCCTCCTCTTCCACATGGATGTGTTACCCTTGAGAAGGGAGGTTGATGCAGACATCCCATCTAGAACCGAGTGCTCCAATGTCTCTTACTCTATGCACATTGTCAAATTATGGGTCTTTTACTTACTGTCTATTGCAAGAAGCTTCTCTGGTGAGGGTTGCACGATGCCCTTGCAAGGTTTTATAAAATTTCTAAGTGGCTCAAAGTTCAAAAGTTGACAACGAATTTCAATTCACCATACTTATTTTTCCTGATTCACAGGAAATAGTTCAAACTATTCTTTATATTTTTGCCTAATAAGCAACCCAAACAGCGTTAACAATCATGGATTTCATTACCTACCGAAAATCAGGATGGCAGGCAGACAGTGGGAGAGTACAGAGTGAGTACCGGGGCTATGCTATCCTTTAGTGCACAGTCCTCAGAAAGTCACATCATTTTTCCATGTCCCATCAGCCAGATGACAAATGCTATGCTTCTCACTGAGGAGATATATATGAATATAAATCCTATTTCCTGTCTCTGAGTAATTTGGGATCTCCTGTCAAAAGTACAAAAATAAAAATTTTAAATGGAAATGAACAACGTAAGGTTAAATATGTATCAGTGATGTGGAAGGATATTTGGGTGTCTATATTGGTATTAGAGGAAACAAAGGATTTAGCCATTCAGGAAGGCTATTCCAAATGAAAGAGCCCATTCAAGTATTTTCTTTAGTGTTCAACCTCATACTATACATATGAGAGCAATTAACACATCACTGATGCTAGACAAAAACATTGAGAAGATCAAGCATCTTACTATAATGGAAAACAAACCATTATACTGAAGGCAAGAAGGCTGGTAACAAATGAAAATATGCCCATAGGAGATCCGTAGCCTCTACAACCATATAGGCACATATGAACACACATGTACATATACATGCACAAACATATATAACACACAATCAATCAACAAATCAATTAATTAAAAAAAGAAAACCTGCCCACTTCCACTCTCATGGGCTTATTCTGTTGCTGTCTACCTTTGTGTATGACATCATGATCTCCCAGGTAAAGAAATTAGAGATGTAGAAACCACCATGATACATACTCCTCTCTCTCCCATAGCCAGTCAGGTGATGCTTTTTTTAACTTGCCTGTCACCATCTCCACCACTTCAGTAAGCTGTCTATCTGTTTCCTGAGTTTACAATTCTAGGTACATACTTTATGGCCTGCTTAGAACCAATTGGATTCCTTTCAATTTGGTTATCTCAGCTCAGATGACTTTAGTGCAGATATCAATCCATTGAGAAAGCCTTCCATTACTCACTCTCACAACACTGCATTTTTCCTTTGCAGAAATTACCACAGTTGTAATTTTATGCGTTTGATTAATGCAAAATTCTCCCATGAGTGTACAAGACTTGCATTAGTATGTAAGGGTATAATTTAGTTCCCACAACAACCCATAAATATTTTACTATTATTCATATTTTATAAACACTTCAAAGTTTTTGAAAGAAGACAAAAGGCCAAGTGGAGGAGATTATGATTATAATATCAGAGACTTGGTGGTAGAGGTCTTAGCCTGTTGTGTGCAAGGGTCTGGGTTCCATTTCCAGCCCAGGAAAGGGGAATGGTGTCAGGGTAGAGCGCACAGAACAATGACAAAGATGGAATGTAAGTTGAATGAAGTAAAGTGGATCCCAGGTTGCTATCAGAACCATGACTGAGCCCTGTAGGTACCAAGATGTTGCATAAAGAAAGGGTAGGGCTGATAGGCAGGAATGACATCACTACTTTCCTGGAGGATTTTCTCTTCATCTGCTGAATGATTTAGTGTTGGGCTCACTGTGGCACTAACAGCCTGTTGACTTTTAGAAATTTGAGTTGGTGATTGTATGAATTTATAATAACATATGTAATTGCTTTTTTCATGGTAAATATCAATGATATGGGCAAATAACTTTAGGCCCATTTCTTTCAGATCAGCAGTTTTCCTCTGCTAGTAACGTGATTTATTTCTTAGGCATGTGAAGGTTTCCAATTTTTACTTTTTATCCACTTGTCTCTTCATCTGTTATCTGTTTGCTCAGCTTAAGCATCATTAGCAGAATGTGGCCAGACTGCAGCACATCAAAAGCTGCTACCAGGAATTCCCAGGGAGCCTGATACAAGATTCTGTCTTCCTTAGACAATAGCTCGGAAAGAAAGAGAACAATTGGTAACAGAAGCCATGTTCTTGCAAAGTCGTTTCCTGTCTCCCACTTCTGTGAGCTGTGGCTGATTTCTTCCAAGTCAGCTAGCCCTCTTAAAAGGTTCATGTACTCAATCAAGGGTATAGGAAGAGGAAGGTGAGAAGTGAATTGGGCTAGTCTGAGAAGATGAGGTGCAAAGAAATGAGCAACAGCTATTTTTGTTTGCCAAGGGAACAAGGAACAAGGTTGTGAGTGAGTGTTTGCTTTTAATCTGCTCAAACAATAACCAAGTTGTTTTATGGGAACATTTAAAACAAATATCTCAATATTTATTGTGAACCAGATTAATCTTACTGTATTTTATATGCTCAGGGCCACATGGTCTTTTTAAAAGATTTTTTTCCATTTATTTATTTATTATGTAGATGTGACAGCAAGAGGATAACTTGTATGAGTCAATTC